CTCTCTCTCTCTCTCTCTCTCTCTCTCTTTTCCCTCTCTCTCCTACCCTATTACTACATTACTTCATCCCTGTATCCTACTTGTCATATATTTCAATGATATGTACGGTTTGTACAATTGTCATGCCAAAATTGTTTTGTTTTTTTTTTATTTGCTTATTTTGCATCAATTTGTAGTTTAAAATATAATAAGAAGGCGGAAATGTCACAGTTATCATTTCGTTCGCAGAGATCATTTGAAAAGAAAATGGGAATGTTCATTTTGATAATAAGTATTAAATCATTTAGATATATCTTTTTCTTTCTGTCTCTCTAATTAATGTTAAGATTCTTAGAGAATATGGTCAGAGGAACTTTTTTCTTTTCATCCTTATACAATTAAGGAAAAACTTTGTGCCATATTTTTTCGGAGTTAAAGAAAAAAAAGAAATGAAATCAGTATAAGATGAAAAAAGAAAAAACAAAAAAAAAAAAAAACGGAAAAAAAGACAAGAGGAAAGAAGAAATGATATTTACAAGGAAGAGTTCATGCTAAAGGAGGAATCATTTAAAGTTTAAAAATTTTATTCCTACTAATTTCAAGAAACAAATATCTTCCAATTATTTCTTTTCATCCTTCTTCCCTTCCTTTCTCTCAATCATTTGTTCCATTTGAAATGTTTTGGAAGTATGACTTTTGGTTATTTTTCTGTACTCTGAACGATTGTTAGGTATGTAATATGTTTTCCAACAACTTTCCAGTTGAAAAAATTCTAAGGAATAGCTTTATAGCACAATTTATAGATGAAATTTATATTCCCGCCTAAGTTCAATTTTTTTTTTCTTTTCTTTCAATAGCAAATTGATTAACTCGTTCTTATTGTTAGGAAAGAGAAGGAAAAAGAGAGGGAGAGAGAAAAAAAAAACGTAACTCGAAATTGCGTTGATTGTTCATCGTCATTTTACAACAGCTCGAATCAACGCTAAAGTATGAGTAAGTGCATGTGGATTATGTTATTGAAGTTATTTTTGAAATTTTATCAATAACAAGAATATTTGTCCTTTTTCCTTTTTTTTATTTTTATTTTTTCACCTTGTCGATGTTTTGTTAACACTTTCTGTGAGTAATTTTGTAGCATTCATTGTTGCTTTCGTCCTTTTTTTTTTTCATTTTAATTTAATTTAATTTTATCTAATTAATTCTTGATAATTATTTGATTTTATGGATGGTAAAGATATGATTGCATACATCTTCTTTTTGCCTATACAGCTCTATTCTTTTTCCGTTCTTTTCATCATTTTTCCTATAGCTTATTTTGAATTTAAAAGCATTCCAAACATTTTTAATTGATGAATTGAATTTCGCTCTTTCAAATTTCTGTCTTCTCACTGTGAAATATTTTCATTATTTAATTTGAGAATTTAGGAATTTAAAAATTTTAGCAAATTTCATCTAACAATGATAGATAATTTTGGCACAAAAAGTATAATATGTCGCGCAATAATAATAATAATTATTATTATTATTATTGGAGAGAAATTTATTAATTTCATTTTACTCAATAAAATCCTTTTTTCCTCACCTTTCTCTTCCCCTTTTCCTTCTCTTATTTTGCAATATCATTATATGAATGCACTAGTCGCATTCAATGTTTTGTATGCCATGAAAAGAGTGAAAAATGTTAGGCAGCTGTTGTTTTTCTTGGAATTATTAGTTTAGCCAAGCATGTTTTCCATATATTTCTTACTGATCTTTGGACTTCTCCTGGAACTATTCTACGCTATTTATGTTTCTCTCTTTTATCTAGCTATCGTTAAAATCCAATTCTTTTTCATCACTCCCTTCTAGGATTATCAGTCAACATTTATGCTATCATTTATGAACGATTGTGTATGTATGTATGTATGTATGTATGTGCGTGTGTGTGTGTGTGTGTGCGTATGTATGTATGTATGTGCGTGTGTGTGAGTGTGTGTGTGCGTGTGTGTGTGTGTGTGTGTGTGCGTACATGCACAGGTATATATTCATTATAAAATTCTGGAATTTAAAGCTAATTTTTCATTTTCTCATGAAACAACAGTATTGTTAAGCAACCATTTTGATATTTCTTCAACTAATCCATCCATTATTTATTGTCAAGAACAGTATGCTATTTATAATAGCTAAATGATATGGTACAATAACCTTTCATAAACTATTAGTCATATATTAATATTTATTTCCATTTTATTATATAAATTTCATCTTTCCTTCATTTTTTATATTTTAAAAAAATGACATATTCGGAAAGTTTTACAAATTATAAAATATTTCTGAATTTTGATCAATAGGAACTAAAACGTTACGAAGAATATTAATCAATGGTAGAAAATTTGGGTGAAAAGAAGATAAAACAAACAAAGGAAGAAATGAAGAAAAATATTTTCTTTCTAGGAAATTTCATAGTCCCATTTTTGGATTTCTCTCAGTTTGTACTTTTTTTTGCTATCGTTACTATTACCCAAGAATGATGTTATTCGGATATAATATAGACTGTTTTTTTTAATGACAAAAAGAATTATCATTTCAGGAGGAAATCAAAATAAATGATGATGAATGGATAACTGAAATTTTTTTTTTTAAAAAAAAAAAAAAAAAGCAGGAAGAGATGTTGTAACAACTGGTCGTTATCACCTTATCATGAAATTATCAACTTACATAACTACTGTATTCACATTTATGACACATATATGATATTCATAAAAGGTGTGATCTATAATATCAGCCTTTTTTAAACCTTCCACACTAATCAATTCTTCCCATCAATAACTGATCGGTTAAACTGTCATCATCTCTTGTCCTCTGCTTAAACAACGATTGAGAGAAGTCGCAATTGATCCATCATTGAATACGCATTCTAGCGCATTTTCTGTACATATTCCACGACCAATACCTATTTCATCTCAACATACTGACATTACCTCTCACGCTAACCAGTTTAACCCCGCATTCATCTATCCATCGGTACATTTACCGTGTCCCCAGACAAGAACCGACTATTTACCATCAAACGATTCACAACAACAGGTACTGATATTACCATTCTATCCATATATGTAGATATTTCTTTCATTTTTGATTTTGTTTGTTCATTTTCTCTTTTGGTAATTGATTATCATTTATCATTTCGTTCACGTTATCATTTATCACTGGCACACTTTCATTAAATTATGGAGCAGTCTGTTCATTTTTGTATGTACGTATATATATATATATTTATTTATATGTGCGTGTGTATATGTGTGTGTATGTGTGTATGGATCTGTCCGTCTGTTTATCAGTTTGTTCGTTTCAAAACATTCAGTATCGAACTAAATGTGTCACGTTTTCTTTTTTTTTTTTTTT